GATGCACGACCTGGCAAACGAGGAGTCGTTCTTCCAATTATTCATACTCAGTTCGAGCAGCAAGCGTTCCAGGCGACCGAGTCCATGCATTTTGTCTGGTCACCAGAGATGCTTGCAAGCTCAGTTGAGATGTACACTGTAATCCGCGACCTCTACTCTTCAAGTGCGCGTATGATCGTGTATTGCGAAAGCCGAGAAGCTCGTGAAGTGCACTAACACTCACATCCACACCTTGGCATGGAACTCGTCTCTTTGATCCTGCGCAGCCTTGCGAAAGGTGCAAGAAAGGAGTGCTGGCTGTCATCGAGGATGTTCTCATGCCGAACGGACTTCGTAATACTTTTTCCTGGTACCTCCCAGAGAGGCCCGAAACCACTTCCCCCCATCACCAGCTCGACTCTCAGCACTGCTCTGAGCTTTACGTCGTTACGTAAGTTCACCTCAAACTCAACTCTTTTGCCGAGACACGGAGAGATTGGCCAAAGCCTCTTCAAGCTGCCTCAAACCGACTGGCAATTGACAGGCAAAGGCTCGAAAACTGTGACTAGGCTTCCTCCCGGAAGTTGTAAGAACTCATCGTCGCCAGCAAAAGCGTGTGCTGCTGCAAGGTGCTTCGTCACTTCTATCCTACCGGTTCTGTCGCAGAAATAAAGAATCTGAAAAACTTGTATGCATTCGGAACAAATCTCATTGGACTTTTTGGGTTGGCATGTCCTCCCGCCTCGACTCGCTAAACAACAGAACTTACGAAAGTTGACTCGAAGCTACCATCTGTCAATGACTTGTCAATGCTAGCTGCTAGAAAAGAGCCTCGCACGAGCTCGAGCCATAGCTTCTGATGCTTGCCGCGGGTCCGTGCAGCATTTTGATCGGCTCATGAGTCCAGGGCTCAACAACCGCGGCACACGACGGGCGGGAAAGATGGTGATTCGATCCACAAAAACCCTTGAAGCTGGACTCTCTGAATCCTAAACCCTAAACCTAACCCCAAATCCTAAATCCGAAACCCTATTTAAAATCCCAATCCCTGCAACCCTAAAGACTTTGATGCCAAGGTGCGCTTCTATGGCGGAGGCCTGCGCACTTTCCCCCACCATCTCAGTCCGAAGCTCGGCCTCTGCCTGCATTGAGAGTTGTACCTTATTCTACTTGCATATGTTGAAATAGAGGTTAGTCAGTATAGTCAGTATAGTACATAAGAAATCAATCAGACTAAATTGAAGTATTTTTGAGGAGGGGCTGGTGTGCACACAAGCGCAAAGTATACTCTGTAGAACTATCGGCATCTGTAAAATAATCTTCCATTATGACCACGACCAACACCACCACCATCACAACAAACAAACAACAAACACACCTGCAGCAAAGCGAACAAACAAAAAGCTCAGCAAGCAAGCAAGCAAGAACGCACGCAAACACACAAACAAACAAATATGAATACAAACACCGAGAACAAGAACAAGAACGACGACGACGACGACGACGACAACGACAACGACAACGACAACGACAACGACAACGACAACCACAACCACAACCACAACCACAACAACAACAACCAACAACCAACAACCAACAACCAACAACCAACAACCAACAACCAACAACCAACAACCAACAACAAACAACAAACAACAAACAACAAACAACAAACAACAAACAACAAACAACAAACAA